ACCCTACTTCAAAAGACACCAGCACCCCAATGTTAATAGCAGCACTATTTCCAATAGCCAAGACATGGAAACAACATAAATGTCCACTGACAAATGACCGGATAAAGAAGTTGTGGTATATTTATACAATGGAATAATACTCAGCCATAAAAAATAATAAAATAATGCCATTTGCAGCAACATGGATAGCCCTGGAGAATGTCATTTTAAGTGAAGTAAGCCAGAAAGAGAAAGAAAAATACCATATGATATCACTCATATGTGGAATGTAAAAAAAAAAGACAAATGAACTTACTTATAAAACAGAAACAGACTTACAGACATAGAAAACAAACTATGGTTACAGGGGGGATAGGGGTGGGAAGGGATAAATTGGCAGTTCGAGATATGCAAACACTGACTGGTGTATATAAAATAGATAAACAAGTTTATACTGTACAGCACAAGGAACTATATTTGGTATCTGGTAGTAGCTTACAGTAAAAAAGAATATGAAAATAAATATATGTATATTCATGTATGACTGAAGCATTGCGCTGTACACCAGAAATTGACACAACATTGTAAACTGACTAGACTTCAATTTAAAAAAAAAGGTAAAAAAAAAATCCCAGACATAAAACCGAAAACACTCACGGGAGACAGTGCTCAGGAGAGAGAGAAATCTAGGACCCCCTGCAACTGATCTGGCAGTGGCCGTGAGCACACACTGTGAACTTTACTGCTGTCTTAGAAACAAACAAAAACCTACGCACAGATAGCACAACTCATAACTAAAAACCTAGACAATGCCAGCACGACAGGGTTAGGGTTAGGGTTAGGAACAGATCCAAGCAGCTCAAAAACCCCAGACACAAGAAACAAAGAAAACTACACCAAGGCACATTATAACCAAATCACTCAAAGCCAGTGGTAAAGAGAAAGAATCTAAAAAGTGCCAGAGGGGACTCACACACACAACACAACAATGATAAGGAACAACCTGGAGGAATAACAATCCTGATGCCAACAATTATTGTCAAGCTGCAACCACTGAGGGAGCACAACTCCACTATAAAGACAGACAAATTCATCAACAGAACAGGACAGAGCCCAGAAAGAAAACCACACGCACAGGCAGCTGTTTTTAGACGAGGAGCAAAGGCAACACTTTCCCAACAAATGGTTCATGGGCTTTTGAATGACTGCCATACTGACTGGTGTGAGGTGATACCTCATTGTAGTTTTCATCTGTATTTCTCTGATAATTAGCGATATTGAGCATTTTTTCATGTACCTATTGGCCCTTTCTGTCTTCACTGGAGAATTGCTTAAGTCTTCTGCCCATTTTTGGATTGGGTTGTTTATTTTGTTGTTGTTGTTATTAAAGTTGTATGAGCTGTTTATTCTGGAAATTAAGCCCTTATCAGTCTCATCTTTTGCAAGTATTTTCTCCCATTCCATACGCTGTCTTTTTGTTTTGCTTATGATTTCCTTTGCTGTGAGAAAGCTTGTATGCTCAATTAGGTCCCATTTGTTCATTTTTTGCTCTTATTTCTATTGCCTGGGTAGACTGACCTAGGAGAACACTGCTAAGATTTATGTGAGAAAATGTTTTGCCTATGTTTTCTTCTAGGAGGTTTAAAGTGTCTTGTCTGATGTTTAAGTCTTTAAGCCATTTTGAGTTTATTTTTGTGTATAGTGTGACAGAGTATTCTAACTTCATTGATTTACATGCTGCTATTCAGTTTTCCCAACACCATTTGCTGAAGAGACTGTTTTTTTCTCCATTATATATTCTTGCCTCCTTTGCTGAAGATTAATTAACAGTAGGTCTGTGGGTTATTTCTGGGCTCTTTATTCTGTTCCATTGATCCATGTCTGGTTTTGTGCTAACACCATGCTGTTTGATTACTGTAGCTCTGTAGGACTGTCCGAAGTCTGGGAGGGTTATTTCTCCAGCTTCATTCTTTTTCTTCAGTATTGCTTTGGCAATTCTGGGTCTTTTGTGATTCCATATAAATTTTAGGATTTATTTGTTCTTAGTTTCTGTGAAAATGTCCTGGATAATTTGATAGGGATC